ATTCGGTGTTGTTGTTGTTGTTGTTGTTGATGATGATGTCGATGAGGAGGGCTGCTGGTACGGCGAATGAGGTGGTACTTGCGATTATATTGGGCTGGTTGGGTTGTTGATAGTTCTGAGAGTAGGGCGAGGGGGAGGAAGGATGAGGGGACCCTTGGTAACCTGGAACTGGGGAGGGAGTGGAAGTCATCTCTGGTCGTCCATATTGCTGTTGTTGATGTTGATGTTGTTGAGGTGTTGGCCGCGGTGGTGGTGGTCGAGACGACGTGGGGTAAGGGGGTTGCGGCGAACTCGGATAGGGCTGTCCAGTGTACTGTTGTTGGCTAAACGGACGCATAGTAGCGGTGATGCAAGAACGGTAGGATCACAAAGCGGTTCGTTCCAGGACAGATCGCTTTGTTTGAGGGGAGGCCGATGGACAGCAGCAAGATGGAAGAGGCAGAGGATGAGTGAAAGCAGCAGGATGGAGGGGAAGATTGGAAGGTGAGTAACAAAACAACGGGGAGAAGACAGGAGCACTAGCTAGATATTGGGCAGGATTTTATTTCCTGATCAAACCGCCAAACTAGCGCGGGGGACTTGGTTCCAGGCAGAGAACGGTGATTTGCTTACCGCTGGCGGTGGAACTGCTGCTTGCGGGCCAGGATACGCCTGGTACTGCTGGGTTTGGCCAGGCTGGCAATCCCCATCGGATCAATCAGAACCACTCTCTGCACAGATAAAGGGGAAAGAATACCAGAAAAATAAAAATAAAAATAAAAATAAATCGCCCCATTTCATCGGTTAAATGTCCTGTGACGGTCTGATATCCTTTTCATGTATGTATATATATACTACTGGTACTAGCATTGATGGCGAACTTACATATGCACCTGGTCTCGGCGCGCCTCCAACAGGCGGAGGACCACCTGGATAGCCGGAGGGAGGAGCACCGCCAGCCTGCTGGGCCGCAGCCATCTTTGAAGCGAGCTATGCAGTCCATGATAATCGAAATGGTCAAGTCAGCCTGGAGTTGGAAACATCGAAAACAGAAATTCAAAAACAGTGGTGGTTCCACGGGTTGCCAAAAAGCTACCGAGGGGTAATGGCGGGGTACGGTCCGGCAACATCTCGGGGGCGTCAAACTTACACCCATATTGAAGTCTGGAGGTCGGCAAGTCAGCGCAGAGACAAATTTCGCTGGGGGACTGATGGAGGGGAAGATGAGGATAGGGGAAAGGTCCGGGTGTTGGGAGCAGAGGAGGGAGGCCGAGCAGGTTGAGATATATATGGACAGAGAGATGGATCAACCGACACCTGACCTAGGGTACTGTACACCCTGGCTGCAGACTACTCCCAACCACCACCACTGTCCAAGCATGGATGACATCGTCCAAGCATCAGCCAATCGCCCGCCAAGGCGCCGCGACGCACACAAGCCACAGCCCGGGTGTAGCACCGTCCCATTGGCCAACATCGAGGCAAGGCTGAAAGGAAAGGCTGAAAGGAAAGGAAGGAAAGCTGGGGGAAAGACAGGCTGCACACGAGGAATCATCTCACAGGGACATGCCCGTGTCTGATCACAGCTCCAGTGATTGTGACGCGGGGTCTTGATGCTGGATTCTATCCATATGAAGAAGTTTTTTGGTGTTGATTTGAAAGTTCTTCGTCCTCCTGTTTTGCGAAAATGTTGCACTTCATTTCCCGGCTCTGATGGTCCTTTTTGTGGGTTGATACCTAGTTACCCTACGAAGAAAGCCTCAAAGCATGAGACCGAGAAACACAAGAAAATATATTTATTTTGGTATGAAACGGTCTAGATATCTCTCCTCATCCCGCTACGCAAAATGGGAAGAAAACGAGATAGAAACAAACTCAAGACATAAACCAGAAGCAAAACACCTCATCACTTTTTTCCTTTGCCCTTTTTCTTCTTCTGATTCCCTCCACCCCCCTGGGCCTTTGGCTGGATGACAGGCGTGCTGCCAGCCGACTCCCCGCTCTTTTCAATAACGACGCCGCCCTGCGTACGCTCAGCGGCTCTCTGTTTCCCCTTCTTCCCCTTTGCCCGGTAACTTGAGCGATCCCGCAACGGTAGCCAGCGTTCTGGATCCGGCTTCTTGTTAGGGTCGTAGTCCTTGGGTAATCGTGATTTGCGGACTCGTTTCTTCGTAGTAGCCTGCTTGCTGTTGTTGTCATCGGCTGCCGCGCGTTTACGGTTGCTTGGGAGAGGGGAGCTTGTGGCTAATATCGATGACGATGCTGTTGTTGTCGCCGTTGTCGTTGCTGCTGCTGTTGTGACGGAGGGTATGCCCGCCGCTTCCAGGGAGGTGACATCGATGTCGGCAATAAGGTCTTGGACAGGTGAAAGTTTATCCACCATCGATTTGACCCTATCAGGCGATGTTGTCGCGTACGCTGCAATGTACCCTGCGGTTGAAAACTGATCATTTGGGTCGGCGTTATGGAGCTCCGTGAATAATTGGCCTGCCAGGGTGAGGTCTGTGGCTTCTCCAGATGTGAGGAGCAGTGAGCCTGCGGCACGGAGGAGTGATGGAGATTTGTCAGGACGTGATCGCCAGTGTGATGCAGCTTTTGCGAGCTCTGCCTTCATGTGGGATTTGCGGCCCTGTGTGTTATAAAGGGAAGCCAGGATGCCGATGAGGCCCGGGTTGAATCGAATGTCCTTATCTGACTCTGACATTGATTGATCTAAACGCTTCAAGAATGCTTCCAGAACAGAGATTGCAGAGTTAAGGTTTCCAGCGGAAACATAGAATTGGATGAGAGCGAGCACAAGACCAACATCATTCGGTCTTTTTGCGACAAGCTGAAGTGCTTCTTTGAGACCAGCTTTATCTGATCCGTCTCGAGCGTGAGCAGCAATGTTGAAAATGGAGAGGGTGTTGATGTCGGGCGATATAGTGGGAGTGGGATGTTGGGACAGTGCTCTCTGAGTCGATTTTGCTAAGCCGTCAAATTTGCGGACCAGCAGATCTACCGCATATGAGTTTTCAGTCAAGGTTCGACTCTGGAATGAGAATAGTCGATCGCCCTCTGTTGCGGATGGGATTTGATGGAAGTGCTTGTGTAGTAAATATGGATTTGATTCAAGTTTGGAGGTAAGAAGAATGTTATTTTGAGCGATTTTCTTGGTGGAAATCTCGGAAATTCTAACACAAATGTCAATATTAACACATGCAAGTCGGTGGTAGGAAGCTCAGCAAACATACTCCGCTAAGTTGATTTCTTCCGCCAGGCTTCTGGCTTCCTCTGTCTTCCCTTGTCTTAGCGCGACATATAATTGTTGAACGGCAATTGGGAGAATTTCCGCAACCTTATCTTCGGGTGTAAGATCCTCGGATGATTTACAGAGTTCTGCCGTTTTGATCAGTTAGAGGATTGTTGGGGAATGGAGAGGAGGAGAAAGGGAAAACCAACCCTTTGCTCGCTTCAGTAGTACCCCTCCTGTCTGTAATTCCCCCCTCCCTATGGCGCTGCATGCCAGATTATAAGTTGTTTCGAAAGACTCTAGGTCTTCTCGGCTTGGTTTTGTATTCTGGACTTGATTTGCCAGTCCAGCCCACTGGAGCTGTGCCTCCGCCGCTCGCGAGTTAATTCGCAGGTCATTTTGCTCCCCCGCAGGCGCCGAATGCTCTGCAGATAGCTCTCTGTAAACCTCCGCAGTGCGATGGAAGTTTTCCGCACGATATGTCTGAATGGGATATAAATCATGAGCCACTCTTGAAGGGTAGTAAGTAGTACGCTAAAAAAAGACTTTTTAAACGTACCACTTGGGCTTCGACATGTTTTCCTCCTCTCCCAGTCCCAGAAGCTGTGGCCAGCTTTATCGCATCTTCCAGTTTCCCAACCTTATATAAAGCGTAAGACCATTCCAGAGGGACCCTTTCCTTCAACGCATCCCCGCCTTCCTCCACCACTCGAATCGCATCTTCGTACCGGTCCAATTTTAGCAGAGCGACGGTTTTCACGTGAAGGGCGTCAAGGTCGTTTCTCGACTTTTTCAGTACCGCATTGCAAGCTTTGATAACTTCTTCATGGTCGTCGATTGAGCTTCGTTGAAGCAATGCATTGATGCGTTGAACCGAGGCGGCGGCCATGCAGAACAGTCCAAGCGCGCCGACCGGCACCTGAATATGAAAAGAACTAAAGGAAAAAAGGAGATGATAAAAAAATAGCAATAGGACGCGATCCTTAGAAAGAATCCGATAACAGTCATTCAGCAGATAGCTTCCGTTTGGGTCATCTGCGTTAAGTTTTTGCTCGTCTCTTAATTAACTCCCCGCAATGTTGAATTATCCTCAACTTCAAAATATATCACATGACCTTTCCCGGGGCCACATCGGGCAAGCTTCGAGAACAGTTTATGGATCAACCTTCTTTTGGCTTCCAATATCTACTCGGTACCGTGGTCCGTGGATACATGAAATTCGTAAACATGAAATGCATACAGCGGATAAATATGTGCTTGCATGGGGCTTGCTTGTCATGGTTTATCGGCATTTGTCTTCCAATCATCCTCAATTCCAAGGAATACTGTTCAAACGGTTGGGAAGCACAGACTGCCTCTGCAGATAAGCACACAATAATAACTGGGGATCCCAGGTTTGAATCCGGGTCCTATGGCAATATGGTTGGGCTAGAGTGTATTCAACACGTCTTCGATTGATTCCTTTATGGTTGTGTTTGGCTAAAACAACTATGAATCATAAAATATATATAACTACCACTCTTCTCACTCTTCCAAAACGGACTACCCAGTTGCAATCAATCTCCATGGAATTTAAATTATTTAGCATCCACAAATGCACACCCGACATACACACCATACTCTTCCGAGCCCGGCCCGCACAGTGGTGGATCTTACGTCCGCGATCCAACATTTATCGCGACATTTTGTAAGTCATACAATTTACTACCTTCTGGGAAATCGTCCTCGGCGAGATCGAAATATCCCCCAGCACAATCCTCTTTTGAGACAACCGCGATTGACCGGCCATTGACGGTTGTATCGGAAGCGATTCTCAAGATTGCGTTGCAGGCATCACTTTCAGAGGCGAATTTCACGCCCTTTGATTTAAAGAAGGCGATTGTTTCTTCAGTGTATGCGGGGGTTATGATGTAACTTTGGGATCCGTCAGAACAGTTCAAAATTATGACAGGATGGAGGGCGGTTGGCATAGGAAAGCCACATATCCATGCACAGCACATGAACAGCATACATGAACAGCAACCGTCTGTACATAAGTACCTACCTTGGTGAAACTAAATTGACTCGAATCGAATCGACCCAAGCATTCCTACGAAGGGAACGCATCAGTGCTCTTACACCAAACTTTGACATCGAATATGTTGCGGAACCTGGTAAGTCAAGATAACCAGCAATACTACCAATCAAAATCAGACACCTATCACGGTCTGGCTCGAGTGATTGGCGTCGAAAGTAGTGGATGGCTAGTTTTGCTGTGTATATTGTTCCCGTAAGGTTGACATCGAAGATGGTAGTGTCTGGCCTCGTGGGTGGAAGCGAAGGGTCTGCAGGTTGTAAATGTTAACCCCCGAAGGTCACCTATGTGGCTTCTTTTTGCAGCAATGCAACCGTGGAACAATGCAGGGTCCAAATAGTCGGGTAAAAGAAATGAAAAGTATCCCGACCTTCGCCGGCAAAGAGACCATCAGGACCAGGAATGCCGGCATTTGCTATGACAATGTCGCAAGGATAGCCTCGGA